TCTGATAAAGCACCTCCTTCCCTCCCTTCAGGGTAAATAGCATTAAATACTGGGGAATCTCCTCGGTGTTCTGTGCAAGAAAAAGAAAAGAATATCTGCTTCCTTATGTAGCTTTTCTGCAGTGTGTTCTCATCCCCACTTGCTGGTATCCCAGTGAACTAAACTATTCCCCCAAAGGTTTTCTGTTTGATAAACCGAGAATGCCATTTGGTTTTGGAGGTGGGTTTTTTTTGTTTATTTATCTTGGCTATCTACTGTCCCTGTTTCATGACAGCCATCCTCATGTAAATTTCCTCCCTACCATCAGTACTTTACATTCTGTATATTGGCCAGGGTTAGCTTTTCATCTTCTGAAGGATTATTGAGGTTGTAGAGAGATCTGGGCAGGCACTGTGGCTTTGTGTGTGTGTTTGGTGCCTCTGATCCACGGCAGAGGCCCTTCTAAGCTGTTGCCCCTACAGCTAATACCTGCAGTGTGACCTGTGTTGTCCCCTGAGCCTCTCCTCTTAGCCAGGCAGTGTTTGTGGGAGGTCTGCATGCTCTGTCACTTTAAGATTTCCTAAATAACCTCTCATGACTTAATTTTTTTTTTTTTTTTTCCTTTTCACTTTTGACTCTAAGGACTAGTTTCTTTATTTTGTGTGTTGGAAATCCCCCGTTATAAAACTTAGTGTTGTGGTGCACTTTTGCTTTGTGACCCTTGCCCCTTACTCTGAAGGCACGGTAAGTGGTGCTGCTCAATGTCCCCCCGCATCTTCTGAAGCTGGTCCTTCTGAAGAGCCACGGGAGAGTCTCTGCCCTGTGCCTCTGTGCTCTGGCTCGCGTTGGTTAAGCGCCTGTGAGTCTTCTCTAAAATCCTAGTTCTGATCGTGATACTGAACCCGGTTTAGCTGCAGACACTGCTAATTTCTTAGAGTTAGCTGCTGCTTTGAATTCCTTTCCTGCTAAATGCGATGGTTTTGATAAGAGGCCACGGCCACGACGGGGATTGCTGACGGCCTAAGCTTCTCAGGATTTACTTGTTTCCTCAAACAGGGTGCTGGAACAACTGAAAAAGTCAATTTAGCCGAGAGAGGCTGGAAGGGAGGAAATGTACCTGTGCTGCTGGTTTGGGGATGGGGGAAGCTGGTGAGGCTGAGGAGCCGTGACCTGTGGATGCAGAGCTCTGCCCCAGGCGAGGGTGAGGATGCAGCCCCAGGCATCACTACCCCCTTCCCAGCGTTGCCAATGGGGTGCCACGAGGGACTGGTGTTGTCTTGGCCTCTTTCTTCCTCCTCCTTGTGCCCTCTCCCCATCTCCTTGTTTCTGCACCCAAACTGGGGAGAGCCCTGGCTGCCTTCCCGGAGGGCTGCTTCCCCAGCCGGTGGGTGGTGGAGAGGGAGGGGAGGCGATGGCACAGGGCTGAGACTTGGTGTACCTCTAGTGCACTGATGTTCTCAGGGACGGCTGCTCCCTGTGAAACTGCAAGGGTCAGGAGCAACGCGACTGGACTTCCCTCGCTTACCAAAAACGCTGTTGTGTTGGCCAGAGAGAAGCAAAACCAACTCTCTTTCCTTAAGCGATGGCAGGATAGCCTCAGATGCAGCTTTGAAACTTAGCAGCAACCCCTACTGATTTCCTTTTTCTAACATATTTTTTTTTTTTGTAATTCTGTTTTCCCCAGTTATGGGGGAGAAAAATAATTCCGTCTCCCGTAGAAGCTATTTTTGCCAGAAGTCAGTTGCTAGTTTTGGTAGTTTTACTTGCTGTGGAACAAGCTGTAGTTGCTTGTGGCTACTGCACAGCAGTCTTCGAGTTCAGGGAAGCAATGTGCCTTCTCTGTTATTCTGAAATGGCAGGATTACAGTTTCACACTGGGCTATTTCTACGAGGAATGGGCTGTTTCATTTGGAAGTATTTGTTCTGAATGTGCACAGTATTTCCAAGGTGTGAGGAGGCGACCCTGAAAAGAGGTCTTTCTTCAGCTCTTTCAGTTAGTCCAGCAAAAGCAATTATCTGAAGCCTTTTAGAGTTTTTTTCTCAGAGTCTACCTAGGACTTCTCTGGGGCCCTTCTGCCACCCCTTCTAGCTCGGCAGGCTTTTCTAGATCCAGCGTGCTTATGGATCCTTTCTGAATATAGAACTTTCCAGGGACCCCTTCAGGGGTTCCTGTGTGTTCCAGTCCCGCCCCCTTCCTTTTTTTTTTTTTTTTAAGCATGTTACACAGAAACTGAACACGCTTGCAGGCTTCCCTGCCTTGAAGAGTATTTAGTGCACATCACACTGTCTTGTGGGTTTCCTTGGGGTAAAAACCTTTTAGCCTGTGTCAGCACAGTGTCACATTAACGTAGAAAGCATATGTCATAGAAAAGTATGATAAGAAGTACGAAACTTAAATATCAGATTAATGGAAAGTTATTTGTGTGTTTTGAAGTATGTTCTCCAAGCCCAAAATTATGGAAAGGGTTTGATAAAACCAGTCCTCTCACAAGATCTCCAGCAGCTGGTTCTTGGAGCCCATATACAGGATCTTCCTGCATGGAAGCAGGAATTAACACAGTGCTGCCTCAAGTTATTTTATATGTTATTTATATATTTTATATATATATTTTTTTTAATATTGCATCCTTGTTGAACACTGGTCTTACAGGGGAAACACGGTTTTGGTTTGGGGTGTGCATCTGTGGTGTGGGTTTTTTAAATTTTTTTTCCCCCACATATTCCCTCATGTGTCAGACATAATGGCAGCCTCGCATCAAACTCTATTTATAGCCGTGGCATAAAAGATAGAGGGAACTGCAACGTCTCCTAGGCCTGCTTTGTGCTGGAGAAGTTGGCTGTGATTAACGTTGGTCCTCTCAGCTGAGCTGCGCCACATTCCTTGCCTAACCACAGCTCCCTCTCTGCTCTTCGGCGCACGCCTGTCTGTGCTTCTCCTGCCTTCCCCTTCCACCTCCACCAGCCCTTTCTGGACCAGCCATGGGTCACTTTGGCCGTGGTGGGGTGCTGGTGACAAGGGGCATCGGTGTGGCTGTGCAGCCATGCGCCATGGTGGTGACGGCATGGTTTAAGCTGGTGGCAGCCGTGGGAAGCCGGCTGGCCCACCACTAAAACACAGCGCTGCCTGCTTGGCTCTTGCCAAGGAGGTTTCTCTTCCAGATGTTGGCTCGAGCTTCCCTTTGAAACATCCTCTCCAGCCACAAATCAGTAGGCAGCGCATTTCTGTGAGGTGCGGATGTGCAAGCACAAGATGTCTGCTCGGGCTCTGCTGCCTGACGCGGGGACGCTGCTGCAAGGGCTTGCAGGGTACCTCAGGGAGAGCTTTTCCAAATTATCCCAGCCTCCATCTAACTGCTTTGGGAACCGTGGGATTGATAACGGGGAGACGCCAAAGCCAAATGGAGTAGGTAGTGTAGTAATGGGGTAGACCCACAGTTCTGCTAGCTGCGGGTCAGTGTGGCTTGTGGGGTCTGTGCCCAGTCTGAGCTTGGCTGGTGGGGGGATGCGGGGAAGTGATGATAAGTGTAAGTGAAGCCTTACAGGGACTGCCTCGGAAAGCCGTACAGAAGGCTGGGTTCTTTTTTTCAGCTTGCTGATGGATCCACTGACAGATATGCGATTGCACAAGTGGAGGTCTGCTGCTCCACCAGGGTAGCAGGTTTAGTTTTCCATCCGTGAGGTGAGAAGGAAAGCCTGGAGAGCTGGAGAAGCAGGGCAGAACAGCACAGGCCAGAGTGGACTTGGTTGCTATTCAGATAACTCAGCAGCTGATGGCTACCTACACTGTTTCAGATAAGAGACTCTAAATGTTGTGCTTTGCATTGAGTGCAAGTTTGAGTGTGCTCTTCTAAATTATACAATCATAGAATAGTTTGGGTTGGAAGGGACCTTTAAAGGTCACCTAGTCCAACTCCCCTGCCATGTGCAAGGACATCTTCAACTAGATCAGGTTGCTCAGAGCCCTATCCAACCTGACCTTGAATCTTTCCAGGCTTGGGGTATCACCACCTCTCTGGGAAACCTGTTCCACTGTTTCACTATCCTCATCGTAAAAAAGTTCTTCCTTGTAGCTAGTCTAAATCTTCCCTCTTTTAGTTTAAAACCATTCCTTCTTGTCCTATCACAACAGACCCTACTCACCTCTCTGGGAAACCTGTTCCACTGTTTCACTATCCTCATCGTAAAAAAGTTCTTCCTTGTAGCTAGTCTAAATCTTCCCTCTTTTAGTTTAAAACCATTCCTTCTTGTCCTATCACAACAGACCCTACTAAAAACTTTGTCCCCATCTTTCTTATAAGCCCCCTTTAAGTACTGAAAGGCCACCATAAGGTTTCTCTGGAGCCTTCTCTTCTCCAAGGTGAGCAACCCCAACTCTCTCAGCCTGTCCTCATGGGAGAGGTGCTCCAGCCCTCTGATCGTCTTTGTGGCCCTCCTCTGGACCTGCTCCAGCACGTCTATGTCTTTCTTGTGCTGAGGAGTCCAGACCTGGACACAGTACTCCAGGTGGGGTCTCACCAGAGCAGAGTAGAGGAGTAGAATCACCTTCCTTGACCTGCTGGCCATGCTTCCTTTGATGCAGCCCAGGATGCGGTCAGTTTTCTGGGCTGTGAGCATACATTGATGGCTCGTGTTCAGCTTTTCATCCACCAGTACCCACAAGGTCCTTAACCTTAAGAAATCTCAAGCTTATTCCTGTTGCCATCATCTCTTAATGTATGGGCTTTATGGCTCCTGCTTCCAGAAGACAATGCCTAAGGTCTTTGCATGTGTCCTTAGGCCATCTGGACATCAGCTGTCTGGACCTAATCCACATATGGCTTTGGAAGTAGCAATAATAATAACAACAATAATCTGTTGTCTTTGTTGTTATCTGAAGTGCCGCATACATGCTTCTACAATAATACAGGTCAAAGAGGTTGAGACAGACAACCTGTCCCTAGATTTGTTGTATTTTAGGTCCACGTTATGGCAAACTAATGGGCTTAGTCACCTGTTTGATGGACATCTCTTTCTTTTCAAAGGATGGATCTGCTCTTAAGTAAAGCTTTGCAAGAGCTGTGAAGTGCTGCATCAAAGCTCTTGAATTTGGACCATTTCCAGGCCTGACGTCCAGAAGTTCTTCCCTATGGGTGGTAAATTTAAAGAGGTAAGCTCTTTCAAGTGTCCTGGAGGAAGAGTGGAAGAACAAATCATGGCTGAGTACTTGAAGCTGCTGTGGAAGATGCCAGATTTGTCAAGCCCCAGGGTGCAGGGCTGGCTTGGCTGACACCAGGCGCTGCGTAGAGTCCCCTGGTTTACTAGAATTGTCTCCTTATATGAAATACGCTGCTTTGCCTGGGTGAGGAGGAAAGCAGAATGCCCTGTGTCAAGAGCACTTATTATGAAAAGCTCTTGAACTTGCAGTACATCAAAAAGTCTGGGGAAACTTATCCAGCCTTTTAATGAGCAGGACGCCAGCTTTTTAGGGTGTATTGCTTTGGCTGCAAGCAGCGTTCTGACTGGCTTGCAGTAGGGAGGTGGTAACGTGTTTGGGCGTTGGGGCTTTTGGGGCTTTTTTGGATGGGAGGTGGGGGGAGGGAAAGCAAATCATGTCATGGCAAATCAGAAGAAGAACTAATTATGCATATGTATTTCATTACAGCCCTGGGCTGGCTTATTCCTAATCCTGAGAGTCTGCTCGTCCTCCTTGACGTGGGGGGCCATGTACAGCTAGGACCTGTTGACCCATTAAAAGTGAACTTTAAAGGTAATATCAGGAAGCGCTTCTAGAGCTGGTATTTATGTAAGAATTACTGCGCTGGAGGTCAGGCAGTTATCTGTTGGAAATGGGTCACTGAAGCTAAACAAATTCACACCATCTGAGGCTCTGACCCATATGTAGATTTCAAACCCAGTGAACAAATTGTGAGGGTGCTATTTTTGCATTTACTTTGAATTCGAAACGATGACACAGTCTCAGTTCTTAGTCAGTCAGACTTCCAGTAGCAGTGGATTTTTCTTAAAGGACTTGGGAGAATGACTCAAGGTTGAAAACTGGGACAAACAAGTTTGTTGTTTGGTTTTTTTTTTTCTGTCAAATAGCATCTGCAGCCTTAAACAAATTATCTATTTGTTTGTTATTTTTAAAACTAGCCTGGAAATGAAAGACAGCTGCCTGCTTCTGTTTTCCTGTTTGAATTCATTTTCCAACCTAGACCCATGAGATTGGCAAAATTTCCGTTTGGACCCAAGAGGAGTTGCTGCTTGGGAAGAGCGGCTGCTGGTGGGAGCAAGGCTTCTTCTCGCTCCCATCGAGGCTATAGCTGCAGCCCTGGAGGCAGCTGGCAGGACTATGACCACCTTATTCTATAGGAGCTAATGTCAGAGGGCTCTATAGCTTCCTCGCCCAGCAGAGAGGAGAAGGAAAAGGGTAGAGATGCTGCAGGTTCTGGTGACGCCTACAGTGCTGAGGTTTTTGGTGGTGATAGATGGCCCTAGACACTGCACGTGGTGACTGTGTTTACTTGCATTCTGTTCACTAAATCACCTTCCCCTAAGATTTATTCTGACTTGTTGAACCATCTGAGCAGCTTTTAACTGCTGCCTTTTTTTTTTTTTTTTTTTAAATGGAAAAGGAAAAACCCGACTTGATTAACTCCTTCCTACCCCTCCCACCTTTCTCTAAGGGTGGAATTTCCCTCCTGCAGTGACACTTAGGTAAAGGGCAGGATTGCCAGCACTCAGAGTGATTCCAGGGACGTTAGCTGCTTGTAGACCGCAAATCACAGGGCTAAAAAAAGGAGAAGCTTCCCAGGCTGCTCTTGGAAAGGGTGTTTATGGCTCCGTGTATGGAGACTACCTGAAAACTACATTATTGGTATTACTGTTAAGTGTTGAGAGATGTTAGGAAGGAAAAGATGACTGTAGGCAAGGCATTGCTGGGCAGATGCCTCCTTTCCAAAACTACTGTGCCTGTGTGAGGGAAAAACGTTTGGCCCTGCTGCTCCACGTCCTCTCCTTGGGCACAGAGTGGGTTCCCCATGGCCCTCCAGCTGGCACGAGCACTGAAAGGAGCGTCAGGCTTTTAAATAGCCAGAAAAGGGTGTGAGATATGGGGAGCCTTGCAAGGAGCTAAGCCTAACCTGAAGCTCTCTGTCCAGAGCAAGCCCTCCGCAGGTTCCTGCAGGTTCCCTGGGGTGCTGCCTGCCCGCTGTGATGCTCCTGCAAGTCTGGGGTGGGGGGGACGGCCAGAGACGGAGGAGCACGTCTTTTCCTCCGCTGCAGGCTGCGTGTCAGCAGTCTGTTCTGCTCCGAGCATGGCTGTGCTGTCAGCGAGTGTGACTGGGTTAATGGAGTATGTCAAGGGACCGAGGGCAGGGCTTGGCGGTGAGCTACTGACTTGTCAGGCCTGGGGAAGTGGTATGTAACAGCTCCGCTTCTCACACAGAATGAGCCTCTGGCTTGGGGCTGTGGTTTCTATGTTTATGCATACACACACACACACACAGAGTATGTATTTTTCATATAATTGAAGTGACTTGGATGGCTGATGGCAACACTGGGTTCAGGAATTTGCATTTCTGAAAACAGACAGCCTGGTGATAACATGAGATGCAGGAGATTAGCAGGGTCATGACAGTAAGGGAGGGAACTTTGAACGCAGCACATGAGTGGAGGATGATGACTGGGAGAGGGCAGCAGCATCTGCTGGCTGGGTGAGATGTCCCTCTGGCAGAAAGAGAAGTGAAATGTCTGAGCAGAACCATTCCTGGGACACCGTCAGTATCTGGTGTTGGCATTAAGTGATCTCATTCGTGGCAGTCCCAGCCTTGAAGTTAATGGTGTAACATTTCTTGAAGGAGTCTGATCCAAGACCTTTGCTTTCTCCTGACACAGTGAAACAGGTCCTGGGATGAGGGAGTGGTTCATGGGGTTTGGTAGAAAAGGCTCATTCCTATCTTCTGCTTCTTCCAAGTCCTGTTGTCTATCCTTTGTTGGAAAAAGGGTTGAGAGGTGTGAGGAAACCTTTTCCACATTTCACTGAGTGACAAAGTGAACGATGGGGAAAATTTTCCCTTCTGATTTGGGAAATTTTTCCCTTCTGATGTGGAGTGTCATTTCCCCTTGCCAGTCTCCAGGCCACTCTGAAAAGCCCCTAAACATCCAACAGAGGTAGATCTCAAAATACTGAGGTCTCCTCGGTTCAAACCAGCCTGCTGAAGGGTGTGCTGGGGAGCCCCTAGCTGCGAATCACAGCAACCCAGTGGATGCAGAGCTCTGTAAGGTGCTGCCTTGTGCTAGAGGAGACCCAGCTGGAGCCCTTCCTGCATATATTTCCTTGGTTGTCTCTACAGCTGTGGGTCAGGGACATACAGAAACTCCCTGGCACCCTCTTTGGTACTCTTGCTGCTGTCTTCTTGTGAAGTATATTCGCTTGCCCAGTTAGAAGAGGGTATTGGTTTTGCCTCATTCTCCTTCTGTCCTGCAGGCTGGATGCAAAGGAGGAAGCGTAGTAAAGGCAGCATCTTTCCAGGATCCATGGGCTCTTTGAGAGATGATCAGAGGGAGGCCAGATGATCTGCAGAACACGCACACCACTGTTTCTCATCCGCAAAGGCAGCATCGGAGCGTTCTCCCCAGCCCCGCGCCCCCCAGCTTACCCGATCGTTTCCGGATGTTTCGCAGCTGCGAGTGGGAGGTCCTGGAGCGATCCCTCAATATCCTCCAGGCCAGCGACTTCTACTGGGGCCCCTTGTCCGTGAGGGAGGCTCACGCCAAGCTCCAGCAGGAGCCCGTCGGCACCTACTTGGTGCGGGACAGCTCACAGGGGAACTGCTTGTTCAGCCTGAGCGTGCGGATGCCGACGGGGCCCGTCAGCCTTCGCATCTCTTTCCAGGAGGGCTATTTCCGCCTGAAGAACTGGTTTTCGGACTGTGTGGTCCGGCTGCTGGAGCTGGTGGTGGCGGGCACCCGGAACAACCCCTTGCACTTTGATGAGATGGGAGGAACTCCCCTGGTCTTTTCCGAGCCGCTGTGCCGGAGTCGCCGGGCAGTGCCCACGCTGCGAGAACTGTGCTGCCGGAGCCTGCCCGCTGGTGCTGCGACGGGGGACGGAGCAGGACCGGGGGGCTCCTCGGGGGTGAACCCCAGGGAGGAGGTGGTCTCACCCCTGGGTGGAAGGGGAGGGCCGGAGGGGAGCATCGTCCCCAGTCCTTCTCCCTCCTGGACTGGGAGATGACGGGGAGGTGCGTGTGGGAGATGAAGGGAGGTGTGTTTTATGTGGCTGTGCTGGTGGGACGCACACCATGCTGGTGGGGCTGGACTAGCTGCTGGGAGAGGAAGGGGAGGGCAGGGGGAGCAGAGCTTGAACCCGCTGGCTGCGACAGCCACGTCCTCATATGTGCACAGCGTGTGTGGCCTTCCCCAGCAATGCCTGGGGTAAAGCCAACCTGAAGAGGAGCAGAGATTTGCCACCCCCCCCCCACCAAGTCCTGCTCTTTGCTCCATTTATAACTGATGAGCTTCAGAAGAGGGTGAGCTGCCTGTCCTCCCAGGTCAGCCCTGTGTTTTCCTCTGTCCCAAACTGCTTCTTGTTTCTGCTACAGATCTGCCCTCTTGAAGTGGTATGGCTGAGACAGTCCCACAGCAGTGGGGTGCAGCTTGGGCATCGGTGGGCACAACCCCTGTGCCGACCGGATACCCCCATAGTCGTGGCGGAGCGAGGGCCCATTTCACTCCTCGTGGCACAAATGCCCGATGCCTGCCACTTCAGAGGCCAGTGTTTGCACTAGAGGGAAATCACTGCAGCCATGTATGCTATGTGCAGCTTCACTGGCTTTTGTATTGCTTTATTTGAACAGATTTTTGGGAGTGCGGATGAGTTATGTTATACTAAGGGCATGGTGTTCCTGTGGAGGTAACCCCGGTCTGGAGAGTCGGGTCTGCCCCGGGAGAGCGTGAACTGATGGTATCCAGAGCCCTTTCTTACGCTCATCTGATAGTATGCTGCTGCCCTCTATAGAAAGTTAGAAGAGGGCTTCGTTTTGCCTCAAAAAAGGCAAAGAATTTTTTATATAAAACTTTAAAAAAAAAAAATTAATAAACTTGTTTTTATACTTATTTTTAAAAGTCAATGAATACATGGCGATGTTTTCATTCTCTTGCAGTGCTGGAAACCCAGCCAGACACGGCAATCAAACTGAAAATGAACAAGTGAATTTCTTATAAAGACCAAAAGCAGGACATAAATGAATGGTCCTAGATGGGAACAATAAAGTTAATTCATCTTAGGGTGTAATCAAATAAAGAATTTTCTAAACGTAAGATACTTCCTAAAAATTTAGGGGCGACATTTTCAGAAGTATTTTTAGTACCTTAAAATTTATACTGAGTGTTTGAAAGAAACATGAGTAATTCAAGAACAGGGTACAGAATCAGTAAACTCAAACCGGTGAGGATGAGCAGGAATGAGAGGAACAGAGTCTGCTTAAATAGGGTTATGGTTCATTTCAGGGGTGGAGGCAGATATGATGTATTTGAAGTAAGTGACTGAAAAAAGCTATGTGAAAGGAGAAATTCAGATACTGTAAAATTTGAGCCAAGCTGTTTTGCGTGCTGCCAGAGACCCACAGCCGTGCAGGCAGCCTGCTGAGCTCACCCTGACTTTCCCCTTCAGACCTGTATGGTGAGGGGGAAAAGCCAAATGCAGAGAGAAATAACACTGAATTTGCTCTTTTGGCTTCAGGTATCTTCTCTGAGGAACCAAAGCGTGCGGTCAGCACAGAGAGAGAGAGAGAGACAGGGTGTGATTCATCACAGGAGCCTAACTTAGACACTCTGAATTATTCTCTGGAGGGCTCTGTCACTCTGCTGATGCCAAGGTGCCTGGCCTCCTATCTCGGGGCACTGGCTTATGAACGGAGGTAGTTAAATAAGTGCCAGAGAAGTGGCTGTGTTCTCCCTGCTGCCTGCTCCTCTCGGTCTCGGGGAGGCCAGGGGTAGCCCTGCAGCGGCTGCGTCTCTCAGCCCAGCGCAGCAGCACGAGCTGGGATCGTTCACTATCGCAGGGTTCACGTGCACTGCCGTGGCTGACACATGGGTATGGTGTTGCTCGCTGCCAGAGCTGTTAATCGCTTGGCAGGTCAGGGCAAAAAGCTAAGCAGGTAATTGCATCTGTCACCATCGCTAGGTCCATTAGGGGTGGTGAATTGGAGCCCTTGGAGGCTTGAGTTGGGCTGTGATGCCCTAGGTGAGGCCTGGGGTGCCCTGTGTGTCATAAAGGGGGCTAGGGTTCAACCCACCCTGAGAGAATAGTCCTGTGCATCCCCTGCTCAAACACACACCCTGTCATTCGGGGTACTAGTATCTCCAGCTTCTGAAGCAGCCCTGTATGAGCACTGTACCCCCTGTGAGGACTGGGGGTCTCCTCCTCCAGGCTGTCTGGCAGGAAAGGCCACCATCGTTGTGGGCTGCATTAACAGGAGCAGCACCAGTAGATGAGGGGAGTGATCACCTCTCTGTACTCAACACTCCTTAGACCCCAGTTAGAGCACCGCATCCAGTTTGGGGCTCCCTAGTGCAATACCACTGCAATAAATTGGAGTGAGACTGGGAGGAGGGATGACCCCAAGAAGCTCAGGGGGCCAGAGCACTTGCCCTGTGAGGAGAGGCTGAGCTCGTTCAGTCTTGAGAGGAGATGGTTTTGGAGGGACCTCATAGCAGCCTGCCTGCACCTTTGAGGAGGCCAGCGAGGAGCCAGGCTCACCCCAGTGGTGCATGGCAGATATAGGGGAAACAAGTCCAGGCTGGCTATGAGGAGACTTTGAGGGCAATCGTGATGGGGGGTAGGTTGCCCAGAGGGGTATAGTCCCCACACTTGGAATTTTCAAGACCCAACTTGGTCAAGCTGGAGCAACCTGGTGTGACCTCAGAGCTGGCTCTGGTATGAGCCCCAGGTTGGACTAGAGACCTCCTGGGGTCCTTTCCCCTGAACAGCTCTGCGGTCAGTTTCATAGGGCAGGGAAGTGGCACTGGGCATGGAGAAGGTGGTGGTGGTGCTGTCACTGCTGTGCCTGCGAAGTTCCCTGTGGAGGGATCTGGATGGGTGCAGTGCCAGCAAAGTGCTGTGGCATGTTGGTGAATGGAAAATCACTTCCCTCCTACTTCCCCCACGACATGGAGCTTCCCTGGGTCACACACGTGCTCTGGGTGCTACTGCCTGCCATGAATTTGGCCTGGGCTTGTAAACCATGTGTTGGTCACCCTCAATGCACTTTAGGCAGAGCTCCAGCAGAGCACAAGTCTCCTGTAGCTCCGACACCCACCCTGCCAGCCCCTGTGAGCATCTCTGGTGGCTCCAGGCCCCTGTGAGCATCTCTGGTGGCTCCGGGCACCTGTGTTTTGGGACCGTGCCCTGGCTCTCAGGTGAAGTCCCTACCTGAGCGGGGTCTGCTGCACAGCTGCCCTCCCCCTCTGCCTGCCGCAGGAGAAGTGGGTCCAGCTCTGCCACCCCAGGCACCCTGCCCGTCCCCTTGAACCTTTTCTTCCTTGGAGGTGTCATCGCTGAGGTCCCTTGGCTGCCTTCCCTCCTTCCCGGGAAGTGGGGAAGGAGCAGGCTAATTTCTTCCATGTTTATAACTGAGCACAGGAATGCTTCTGTTTTATGGCCGCAGTTATAGCTCGCTGAGGGAAGAGCTTTCGAACTAGATTGCTCTGACCTGGCTGTGAACCGTTCTCATTTGGCCGAAAATGAGCATCTTGGGTTGTATGGCTGGGGGCTGCGGAAGAGCCCTGTTTGCGGCCAGGATTGTGCCTTAGGAAAATCACACCAAGGGAGGAGGAAATAGTTTGGATTTTAATAAAGTCTACTTTATTTTGCTCATTTATATTTTTTTTTAATTGCACAGCAAGAGCTCATCTCTGTCTTACAAGTCAGTCAATTCCATGCAGGGCTGTAGCGAATTGATTTGAGATCTGTGGATCAAAAGCAGTGAATGGCTGCCAAGCATTGTTATATTGTGGAAGTTTAAAGCACGTTATGGGTGAGTATCCTCATTATTCCCGAGGAGAGGTCGCTTTGCAGATCAGGATTGGTGCAAGAAAGGAAACCAATTTGAGAAGAACAGGACTGTGAGAAGTGCATCGGCTGCGGTAGGTTTTGCAGAGTCCTCCTTTGTTTTCTGCTTGGACATTGGAAGAGAAACCTTTTCCACCAGCTCTTGAGAAGAAGATGTACAAAGTAAAACTGTAAGGGTGACTTCAAATAAGGTCCTGCTGCTTTCATTAACAAGTGGGAGACATTCACTTTAATCACCCTGCCTCTGAACCGGTCCCTCTGCCGTGTAGGAGCAGCTCCTGGTGGCCCGCATCCAAATGTTTCTTTTGGTGGCTCCTAAAGGGACTTATAAAGAAATTACAAACTTCCTCACAACCCCTTGAGCGCCATTCGGGGAAAAGAAGAAAATTGTTTGCATTTTTATATGTTATGTTATACATTTCTCCAGCTGACTTGTTTCAGTTTGTCGAGGAAAGTTATACAGCTTCGCAGATGTTTTTTTTCAACTGCTCTTTCTAACAGCAGAAGTTGAAAAGTTTAGTCCTTGAGAGGGGGGCTTTCTCTAACGGGCTGCAAAGGGCCTGGATTTCAGTCCCAACATGCTGGAGGCATCCAGCAGGAAACTGCTCTTCATCTGCTCCTGACTAGCTGTCGGTTAGCAGTGCTCTGGGGCCCCAGGGGTTAATTTCCCAAAATCCTCCGCTGAAACTTGTTAATAACTTCCATATGTACCCATGTGTGCGCACAGGAGGGGCCCCACAGCCAGCAGCTCTTGTAATAATCCTTGATTACCTCTGACATAAGGGTCTGTATGCTATTAGGGATCTGCCTTGATGGATCAGGATTCACCGAAAACCACAAGTTTGTGCAAACACATTTCAAAAAATTTATTAACATGTGGGCATCCTCAGTGTTTGGAAATGAGCTCCTCCTAGGTAGGCAAGCTTCAAAATAAAACCTGTGTATACACAGCTGGGTCTGGGTTTTGAACCCATACACTGATGTCCCTCCCAAAATGTGTGTTTGCATCGTTAGTGCTCAAACGTGCTAAACCCATTCGTTTACAAGAATACCTTGGTTAGGGGAATGTGGTGGGTTTGTCGAGTTCATTTTGCACTAATTCCTTGGATGTTTGGCATCAGTAAAGTTACAATGACGGCATGCACTGAAGCTTTCTGCCTGCCCTGCGCTGTTGCCTGGTGCAGAGGCAGAGGGGCCGAGGGCAGCGTTCAGAGGGAGAGCGGGTGTCAAAGGAGAGGGATATGCCTCCCGATGCCTCCCTGCAGAGCCGCCCAGGTCTCGGCGTGCTCCCCGCTGCCTTCTGATCTCAGCTGGGGCTGGCAGAGCTGGGGTTTTGATTCAGGCAGAGCAGAGGACTTCCAAACGCTTCCCTGTGTAAGGGCTGGCTCCACAGACTAGGACTTTTCAGCCGGGAAACGAGATGGCTGAGGTCTGCAGCAGAGATCTGTGAAGCCTGAATGCCACGGACTGGGTGAAGAAGTGTTTTCTTAAAAAAGCGAGGAGGCATTTGATGAAATACTCAAGTGCAAGACTCAAAAGAAACAAAAGGAGACATTTCATCACGCGAAGAATAGCTTAAGCTGTGGAAGTCCCAGCCACAGGCCACCAGTGAGGCTAACCAATTTGTGGGTACAAAAAGGGATTAATGGTGATTAATGGAGCACCTCCGGAGGAGGAAAAGCTGCGGTGGGAAACAGGGGAGAGGTGGGATGCAGGTGCAGCTTTCAGCTCTGTGCCTCGTTGCACACACCTCTGCTATGGCAGGAGGCTGGGAACAAGCCAGCCAAAGCTCAGTCTTGGGCTTGACAACGTGGGGCGCAGCCCAGGCCAGCGGAGCCAGCTGCTCCACGGGGAATAGCTCCAGGTGTGCACGGAGCTCCTGGAACCTACGCCGGGGCCTCTGGAGGTAGGGGGGGTGTCTGCACATGGCAGCCCCATTCACCCACCCACACGGTGTGCAGTTGTGTGCCCTGGCAGTGGTTTGATGGCAGCCCCAGTGGGATCATCCCTTGGGCACTTCCTCCCAGCTTTCATGAGCGGAAAAATGGGGACACCCAT